TAAATAAATAAATAAATAAATAAATAAATAAATAAATAAATAAATAAATAAATAAATAAATAAATAAATAAATAAAGGAAGCTACTATTTCTACTATAGCATTTTGCTATTTTTATTATGATTACTATTTTTAGTTTTTAATATAAAATATATAAAAATATATAGTAAATATATATAAAAAATTGATAGCTAGGCAAGTTTTTCCTAGATCTTTTTATCAACTATTTTCTTTTAGCTACAATAACATACTAGCTATCCACTACCAAAGCATATCTTATTGGAATCATATCAATCCTATCAATTACTTCACAAAACAGCAAAATCACTATATATACACCATACAACCCAACAGTAAACTATATTAACTCAGTTATGCAATACTCATACAACCTTAATATTCTCATCCAGAAGCACAATTACTGGCCTCTTAAACAACTAATTCAAATTCTTATCACACAAAAAAACTTAACTATTCAGTTTACCTTATAGATTATAGGCTAAACCACATACTTTTTTAAAAGATGATACAACTAGCCATATCTTCACAGCAATACAAAATTTAGCTTATACTATATGCACTAGACAACAATAATTTTTATTTAGCATAGAACAATATACAAGTAGAACACAAAACTTGCTGATTTATATAATACCTACAAAATACAAGAAATACTGTTAAGCAGCATTTATTTAATAGAGCAAACAGCTAGCAAAAGATTTGACAGAATACAAACTAGAATAGTACCTACCAATTTATTAACTATAATAATAAACTATACACAAGGTTTATACACTCAGAACTATTATAGAAAATGAACTTTAAAATCAAATTTCTACTAAATGAGTTACCAACACTACTTAATCTACATTACCAATACCTAAAGAAATACACAAACCCAACATACAACAGATATACCCAGGCTATTGAAAACAATATCTATTGGTTAGTTTGCTTAATGAACCCAACATCTCTATATCAACTAATAACAGAAACAATTACCAAATATTGCTTAAAACAGAACAACCATTTACCAGACTCAGCAATAAAAATGCAAAATTTTTTCATAAATAGTACAGATACACCTAATACTTTATTACTAAAAAGATTAATTTTAGAGGATATCTATACTATTACTTTGATATACAATAAAACAATTATCAAAATCTTATATAAGATATCTACTAATATATATAAACAAATATAAAAATATATATCAGAATAAACTCTTTACAGATACATACACTGCTATAACCCTAACTTACTCTTCTATACATCATATTAGTATAGCTAAATATAACAAATAGGAAGCTTTATTCTCACAACTAATATATCTACATTATATATAGCTAAACTAAATCTAGTAGAGGCCAGGTAGCCCACTCTAGTAAAGCTTTGGGCTAATAATAAATTAGTCTTAGCTATAGATCCTTGTAATAATTCATGTAATCTATTTAACTAATGTAATGTATAATTATTCAATAAAAATTGAGGCCAGGCCTTATTTTTTAATAAATATATATATATTTATATATAAATTTTACTAACCATAACCATGGTGATCATCACTAGTATGTAATTAGCCAATAATGATAAACTAAAAAAAATTACATTTCCTTTACTTTAGATTAGGGTAAGGCCTGGGATTTAAGTAAAGCACTAAATATATGCAAAATTTAGCAAAGAATTTTTTTTGTTAGAATATTGAAGGTAGTTTCATAGATGAATTCTTGAGATATTGGTATTTTTTTAAAAAAGATTTTTATTTTTGTTATACAAATTAATTTGCACATTGCATCTGATCCTGCAAATTTATTGGCTAATTACATACTGGTGATGATCACTGCAGTTATAGTTAGTAAAATTCTATATATAAAATTGATTTTTTAAAATTTAAAAAAAAAATTTAATAAGTTAACCTCTTTTGAGCTTTTAAGTAAAATTGTTAAGAAGATTTTTATAGTTTTAATAGTAATTAGATTATCAAAATTAGCTTAGTGAATCCCAAAATATTTGGGGTTTAAGTGCAAATATAAAGATCTACAAATTGGTAGTTATACAAAGTATTATAGACTATAAAACTTTGTATAATTACCAATTTATAGATCTTTATATTTGTGTTTTTAACCTCAAATATCGTATTTACTAATTTTTTCTAAGTTTCTATAGTTATTAGTAAATTGCATTTTTGATTAAACAAAATTAATAACATGATATCTTTTTTGATAATCATATATATTTGTACATTTGTTTTGATAATTAATATACTAGAGTACAAATATTTTTTATTTTTTTAAAATTTAGCAACTAGAAAATAGTAGTGTTTTTTGTATAATTTTGTTTTTTTTTCAAGTAAACTAATATATACTTTTTTTTTCTATTGGATTCAGAGTTTGAAATTGAGAATGTGGTAGGTGTTTTTTTGTATAGTTTATTTTTTTTCTTTAAATGAAACTAATACTTGTGCATATCTTACTTTATTGGGTCTTCTTTGGGCTTGATTTTATTGAATTTTGTTTCATCAAGTTTGGTTTCATTGAGTCTTGCTTTGTTAGGTTTGGCTTTGTTGGGTCTTGCTTTGTCAAGTTTGGCTTTGTTGAGTCTTGCTTTTATTGGGCCTTGTTTTATTAGGTCTTGCTTTGTTAAGCTTGCTTTGTCAGGTCTTGTTTTATTAGGTCTTGTTTTATCAGGTCTTACTTTATTGGTCTTTGTTGTTTTTACTTCTTTAGTTTTCTTCATCAGATTTTGCTTTGTCAGATTTTACTTTGTCAGATCTTACTTTGTCAGGTTTAGCTTTGTCAGTCTAACTTCATCAGATTTTCTTTGTGAGTCTTACTTTGTTAATTAGATTTTGTTTATCAGTTCTTGTGCTATTGGATCTTACTTTGTTAGATACTGTATTTTGTTGGGTCTTGTATTTTGTAGTCTTGCATTTTGTTGAGTCTTGTACAGTCAAACCCTCTATAGTCACCTCCTCTATAGTCACAAAATCAATATAATCACATGTTTATTTTTACCAACCTTTTTTATATTATTTATACCTCTATATAGTCACAATCGCTTTATAGTCACTATCACATTTTTTTGTTAACTAATTATATAACACCTATATAAAATTTTCCTCTATAAAATCACACAATAAATACAACAAATAAGTGAGATTGTGCATATATATGTACCATAAATTATGATATTTATGAATATCGATATGGCTAAAAAACTGATTGTACATAGTGATTTGACCCGTTTAAAAAACCTTCATCCAGGTCAACCATCAGATGAACAATAAGTCATACAGATGGAAATCAGGTCAACTTACAGCTGTTTTTATAAATTCTGGAACGTCTGGCAAAAAATTAAATGACCGAATATTTACGGATTCGATAAGTTCTGATCATCACATACTTATTCAGTTAGTCGATTTTTTGCTAGATATTCCAGAATTTATGAAAACAGCTGTAAAAATATCACCCACCCAGTTTACCCAATGGGTGATTCGTCGGTTCATCTGGTAGTATAAAATGACCACTCAGGTAGTAATATGACAAAAAACTACAGCTTTTTAAAAATTCTAAATATCTAATAAAAGTGATTTTAGTCTGATTTGATTAAGTTATTGATTTCGATATGATTGGTGTATATTTTTAGATATAATACTTTGGGATTAGAACCATATAGCTAAGATTGGGATAATGTCATATAATGTCTAGTTGACTAGTTTATAGAGCTATCGGGATAATATCGTATAATATGAATCAAGACAAATCAGAATGATATTAGAGTTTTTCCTATATAACAAACCGGCATATCAATTATACATAAATAAGATCAGTGATGTAATCTTTTTTTTACGTCTTAATAGGAATACATAGATCACATAACTTTAAGAACATATTTAGTCTTGGCCTGGCAAAGAAGATTTAGATGCGGTTATAGTATCCAGACCTGTGCAATTACATTTTTGACACATAAAATACATAATAAATTAACCTATTTTAATTTAACTAGTGCAAATAACAATATTAATTAATATCAATGTGATAAAGATTAATGCAAATAAGTTTTTTGCTAATTACTAGATGTCAATATTATAAGACTATATTAACCCGAACTTTAATCATTAGTAGTATATTTATCTTTCCCAATTTTTTATTTGCATTGATATTGCATAGCCAGGATTTCTTATATTGCATAAAAATTCATTTAAATTGCACAGATCTGGATAGATACGGTAAATAAAAATTTACTATTTAAATTCGGTATAGCCAGCTTAAAAACTGATAAATACACGCAAAAAAGAATTTGTCATATTTAAAAATATAAGCTTATACATAGATAGATATGCAATGTATATACGTAGTAAATTGATATGTAATAATAATATCCTGATCTGTTGGGAATTAGCAAAAATGAAGTTTCAGCTTATTCACATACGGTCAGGGTATTATTAATTAATCCTCCCATAATCTTGATATAGTGATCAGGGATTAGAGTAATTCAATCTTATCTTTAATTATCATGACCTTTATTAGAGATATAATACAATCTTTAGCCACATAATTAATTAAACAATCATACTCATATATTCATACATAATATCGACCTACTACTTAACCCAAAGTTACTAATGTTTTAACTCTATAATGTTCAGATTATATAAAATATAAACATTAGTACAAGTTTATTGTTATTATAATAGCATGTCAAATGGTATACATAAAATTCTTTAAGTTAAATCTTACATGTAATGTTTCAATCTAGCATTTAGAACTTACATATGGTTAATATAACTAGTATTATCAATAAATGGCAAAAACACCCACTTCTAAATGATGTTCAATTATTTTTGATTATTTTTGTATAGTGAATATAGAAGCTAGAAATAGGTTTTACAATAAATTTTTGTTATATAGTAAAATATTATATTTTCAAAACTATATAAGTTATCTATTTACATCAATCAATCATACGAATGTCTCTCTATTACCCACGGGTCAACCCCACCTGTGGATAACCAAGTAAGACCCACCTGAGTCAAAATACTACTTCTAAGTTTTCACTTTGAGGCACTTGAAAAGCTTGTCGAGAGTGTTCATTATTGTGAAATCAGATGACTTTATGTAATTAGATGACTTTATAGACCACATGTTCAATTTGTTATTTAACTTCTTACGGATATTTGAGTATAGCTTTACAGTGTATTGTTAGACACAAGTATTTTCTGGTTAATATAGTTGTTAAAATATGAATTACTATGAGAATAGGCAAAAGAAACAAGGTGTAATCATATGGTTCTGGATATGTAACCAGTATTGTATTTAAGAAGCCTTTGGTTAGTAGAGAAGATTATTTTTTTTTTCACTATCGCTCGCCTTGGAGTTAAGGCTGGCTCTATCATCCCACCCTGTTAGTACTGTTAGGTCTTGTGGCTGCCATTAGCAGAATATGAACTTCATATTTAGCAATTAGGCTCCTACTGTAGGCAGTACAAAAATCTATATAGGTTCTGTAGCCGCTGTATACAGTGAAAGTATCTCATATTTGATATTTAGATTCCGCAGCTACTATAGGCAGTACAAGAAGCTTGTATTTGGTTTAGGCTTCATATCTGCAGTATGCAGCATATGAACCTCACTTTTTGGTGACTAGACTCCGCAGCTGCTGTAGGCAGCGCAAGAACCTGTCTTAGTCACATTTATGTTATCAATATCTACATCACCGATTCTCTTTGACTCCTTCTCAGCTATATTCATATTTATATGTGGTCATAGATATACAATAGGTTATAGGATTGTTTGGGATAAAATATTTCTTTAGAGATATAGTCATTTAAGTTTAAGCATATTTGATATAGAGCCTGTAAAACCTGTAAATAATAGCGGACGGATTCCTATATTTCTTCCTCGTCTAAATAAAGTCATCTGGCTGAGCAATAATAATGAATAAGATCGAAGTTAATAAATAAAAAATTAGAAAAAAATAAAACATAAAAAGAAAGAAATAAATAAATAAAAAATTAAAATAAAAATAACAAAAAAATAATTAAAATAAGTCTCTGAAAAATAAAAAAAATAAATGCGTTATGTAGAATAAAAATTTATTTAAAATTTTATATAATATTTTTTATATTTATACAACAACATTCAGATTTTGGGTATTTTTCAGCATTAAAATGTAATGTGAATTAATTAACCTTATCTGCATAGCCTAATGCTAATTAATTTATTTTTAATAAATAAAAACCCTGTATAGTCACTTTTTATATTTTGTAATATAATTGTGACTATATAGAGGTTACCTCTATATTAGTTACACCTCTTTATAATCACAGTTTTTTGTATCCCAAAGGTGTGACTATAGAGAGGTTTGACTGTATTTTATTAGGTTTTTTGTTGGTTAAAGTAGAATTAAAAGTATATTAAAGCTTATAGAGTTAGATTAATATTAAACCAAAATGTATATGTTATAATTAAGATCAGATTATTGTTTATTATTTAAATAAATAAAAATATTTTTAGCACAATTTTTATATTACATATATTTTAAAAATTTTTAGACTTGATTAAAAATATTATTATTTGAATTTATCAAATTTGATTAAGTGGTTATCAAAATATTTTCAATCAAAGTTGTATTAAAAATTTTAGTTTTTATATTATAAATATTTTAAAAGTTCTCAAACTTTGATCAAAAATATCTTGGCAACTATCTGATCAATTCAATGAAAATTTTTTTATTCAAATTTTATAAATATATAGAATTCAAATAAAAAATTTTATAGAATTTGGTCAAGTGGTTGCTACAATATCTTCGATTTAAGTTAAAATTTTGGTGCAGTTTCTATCTAATAGGTGTTTTAAAAAATTTAAAAAATTTTAATCAAAGATATCTTGGTATCTACTTGACCAAATTCTATGAAATTTTTTATTCAAATTCTATAGATTTGTAGAATTTGAATAAAAAAATTTTCATTGAATTTGGTCAAGTAGATGCAAAGATATCTTTTGATTAAATTGTATTAAAAATTTCTATATATAATAAGTGATTAAAAATTTTAAAACTTTGATTGAAGTTATCTTGGTATCTATTTGGCCAATTTCAATAAAAACTTTTTTATTCAAATTTTAAATTAGTAGAATTCTAATAAAAAATTTTTATAAAATTTAGTACTGAGTTTTAAAAATCTTAAATCTTGATTGAAACACCTTGGTACCCACTTGACCAATTTCAATTAATTTTTTTTTATTCAAATTCTAAAGATTTATAGAATTCAAATAAAAAAATTTTTATTAAATTTGGTCAAGTAGATGCTGAGATATCTTTGATCAAAGTTGTATTAAAAATTTTGGTGCAGTCTCTATATATTAGGCAATTTAAAAAAATTTTAAAACTTTAATCAAAAATATCTCAACATCTACTTAACAAATTTGATAATTTTTTTTATTTAATTTTACAGATTAGTAGAATTCGAATAAAAAAAATTTTATCAAATTTGCTTAGAGAATAGTCAAGATATCCTTTTTATTCAAAATTTAAAAAAATCTTCTGAATCAAATTTTGAGATCATAAATTTAGTCCAATCAGAAATGTGATTTACTAATGACTAATATAAACTTAGAGAGAAAATTAGTAAACACCTCAAATATCTTGAAAGCTACCAAGCTGATTTTGATAATTAACTATATTAGAACTAGCAAAACCTTCTCTACAACTTTACTTAGAAGCCCAACAAACCCTAA